AATGAAAGGAAACTAAGGCGGAGACCAAGCCGCGGTGGTGTCGAGGGTGACCAGCCGCGTTGGGAACGCGACACACGTGCGCTGCTCCTCCGAGGGCGAGCCCTAATGAAGTGGGGTTGCGCGCCCCTGCCGAGGGATTGCCCTCCACTGTTTGACAAGCGAACGCTATACTATAAAATGTTATACTAAAAAAATACTACTAACACCACACTAACGTGTGGTGGATGGCGCATATTTCTACAATGACAGTGACTAAAAGCAAAGTAATATATGTAATATATGTCTCACTGTTGGGCAAAGGCCTCATCTATACAGAGGATATTAGGGATAGTCCACCACGCAGCCCCTTGCGGGTTGGCGGGCTATAACTTATATACATAACTTCGAAATATTTTTTTTATTATTTCGAAAATATGCAGGTTTTCTCACGATATTTTCCCTAAACGTTAAGCACATGAGTTAGCACTTAAAATTAACAATTTCATTGGTGCCGGTACCGGGGATCCAGCTCAGGGTGCTCGAGTATATTAAAATATAAAAGTACGCCAGGACAATGAGCTTTGGCGACAAAACAAGAATTTATTCTAAAAAGTTTATATTAAATAGTGATCACCGAATTATAAAACTATATTTAAACGTTTTATTTTTATTGAGAAAACTTGTTGTTTGTTACTGCTATTATAACAACCCATATGTAAAGCAATAAACTTAAAACTTGAGTTATTGATATTATATTATTGTCAACATTTATACATTAATCTGAGTAGAATTTTTTTTAATGTAAACAGAATGACTCTCTCGCTTATCGCTTTCGGTGCTCGATAACGTTACGAGTGCGCGACAAAAGTGCAAATTTCCGATACAACAATTTGTAACGCCGCGTGACCCATCGGCACTTGATTTGCGCCAAATTGCATGTGGAACGTTTCATTTCATTGCGCTTTGTTATTATTAACACCGACAGAGTAAAGCAATGCATTATCATAGAGCCGTGATGATAGATTATAAACGTGATTTAAAATGCGTCACAGCCGTTCGAAACAGCCGTTTTTTTTTTATATTTTTAATATAAAGAAAGAAGTCTGCAGGTTGAATACTGTACTGACAGTACTATGAATTTGTTTGCCATGAAATTGCATTTGATTAATGTAAAATCTTCGGAATTGAAAATCAACTCCTTTCAAAGTTGATTTACAAGGCAGTTAATATCTAAACATCCGAAATTCAGTTACGAAGACGGTGCTTTGGAGCTTTCCTGAAAAAATTCTCGTTCTACTAATAACGGAGCTAAAAATATAAGTACTTGATATTGATTTTCTTTCAAAATCAAGCTAAATAGGTACAGCGAGCTCTAGGAACAGCAAGTTCGAATTCCAAAGACACGTGCCAATGAGTTTCTATTTAACTCTCTTTTTCTTTTTTATGAGACAGGAGGCAAATGAGCATGCGGGTCACCGGAAGTACGAATAAGCTATATACTTGAAGATCGCCAAGTCGTATCGGTCCGGAAATACTACTGATTCCACGGGCTTTATGTGCGTGGCAGAAAGTCGCATGACAACGCACTGTGATGGACTGCCTGCCATCGAGGAATTATTGTTGGCATGTTGCAAGTTCGGAAGCCTCTCGGAGAGAACCTGGTTCAGAGTAGACCTGGATGCGGTCAAATGGAAATTGGTATTAGAGTGCTGTATCACATAAACTCCTCGTGGTGCACTCTGGGTACCAGTGGCCAGTGACTAACAGACCAAGTTCAAAAATTTAATTTCAGTAGCAAAAGCGTTTGGCATTTTTAAACAATTATTTATATAATATTTTTTAGTTCTACTAATTACAAAAGCGTGTTTTATTATCAAACATTTTTTTAATACGTACTTTGCACAAGAACAGGTAGGTAATCCTGAAGGTCCTGATCAGCATAATGGGAAAAACTATTTAAATTATTGCATAGTCTTTGACGAGTGTGCAAAGTTTGAGCCAAATCTGACTGGTCAAAGTGGGGCAAAATCACGTTTAAGGATTCCGTTACATTCATACATACATACAAGTGAAACTAATAACAAGCAGTTTCACTCTCTGTTAAGTGTAACTTAATGACAAAATTTTCAACCGAATATTGTCAAAGATTTAACAAGTTTATCAGAGATTAAAACATGGCGTACACGGTACACATCTTACAGCATAGCACGTAACCCGGGCCAATAACACGCCAATTTTCTGTTACTCTATAGAGAATGAAAAGTGTATGTGGTGTTTACGATTCGCTTCAAAAACAAAGACCTACTGCCAACGTGCGACGGGGAGGCGACAGAGATTGCAGCAATAAAACGATTTCTTCAATCCAGGGAACAATGGGAGGCAGGGACCTATTTGGTGTTTCGTTCACAACCATTTTGTTAGTCATTCGATCGCGAATAAGTTTGTTTGTTCGTGGATAATAATAATAATTTGGGTGAGATGCGGTTATGAATGTATTTGGTAATCTATTCGCGTTTTCCCGCCGCGTTACATACGTAATGCTTTCGTTTCGAAATAAAACTAATGTTTTGATGTAAATTTTCAGCCGTAAAAAGACGCAGTGTTCATAAAATTAGCCCATTTTCGTAGTAAAATAGTGTCTTTAACGATTTCTGTACAGCCCATTTTTCACAAAATCTGTTTAAGGTTAGCTGCGTTTTTGACCTTTTAACTTTTCACCTAGCTGTCTCGTGACTAAGAAAGCTATTCCTCGGAATGTATGTAATTTAACAACAACTTTGATGTAATCAATACAAAAGTTTCATTAAACAATAAAAAATAAAAATCATTGAATTAAAATTAGCACCGATAAAATTTTCACTCGCATATTAATAATCACATAGATGAATGTGTGGTTTTAGTGAATATTTCAATAAAATTGCAAATAATTCCAAACTAAAGAAAGGTTTAAAAAGGTTAGTAAATTTTAAAAGTAAGAAAAATACTTTAATTTTTGATACTTCTTGAGCTATATGAGCTCTATAAATAAAATAATATTTCTCACTTTAAGCTAATGAGCGGAGGCAATGAGCTACGATTTCTTTCCAAAGTCTTACAATAGAGAGACAGTAAGAAATACGCAACCTAATAATTCAGAACACGTTGATCCCAGCCTTATTATAACAACAATGGCCAATAGAAAGCGGAGACGTTCCACTGTAAGTGAGTACTTATAACGGGAATCATTGTTCCCTTGCCGAAATAAGTGAAGGCGCAAGAAAAACCGTCGCAAAAGGAAGACTCGGCCCGCCGCGGGTCAGTTTTAAACAATAATGGCTTATTGTCCGCCGCGGGGTCCGTTATAAAAGCCGTTTGTTCAATTAAGCGACCCCACAGACCCGGACAAAAGCTCCGGGGCACGCTCTCTTCTCCCGCCTTCCCTTCGGTCTAGGTTCTTGCCAGAGTTAGATGCTAAAGAAATGAGTGCTTAGTGGCAGTGATATGATTAGATAAGCAATCATCTTCTTCTTTAAAAATCTGTATGTTTTATTTTTGATAATGCAATATTAAATATGACCATGTGTCGGTATACCGTTCTCAACTGCAGTGGTTGCCGATTCGCCAACGACGTTCTTTAAAAGCACTAACCACTCTTTACTCTTTTTTTGATTCCCCTTCTACCCCATCTTATCTATCTCCCTACTTTCAATATCTTACTTCTAAAGGCGATAAAACCCCGCGTTCGACCCATAATCGTCTTTTACTATGTCCTTCTCATCGTTCGAACTTTTTACATTCTTCTTTCTTTATTCTGTCCATTCTTCTGTGGAATGCATTACCTCTCGAAATCAGGATGGCCAAGAATCGCTATTCTTTTAAAAGCAAAGTTCGTGAGCGCATTCTTAAACAATTGTCAGCAAAATCAGTTCACCGTTAATATTTATTTTTTTTGCAAATGTTTTATAATACACTAGGTATTTATTGTTTATAGTACATATTGCGTTGTATCAATGCATATAGATATATATTTATGTACATTTATGTAATATACATATATATTCATATATATATATATATATATATATATATATATATATATATATATATACATATTTATGTATGTTTATTTTTATGAATAATATTTTATCCTTCAACACGTAATATCCGTGCACCTACCTCACTTTTCTCTACACCATCCTAAGGTTGACTGGTAGAGAATGCCACTTGCATTAAGTCCGCCTTTGTACAGTGTGTGCATGAAGATTAAATAAATAAATAAATAAATATTTATTACCTTTCACATACTTTCCCTTTATGCATATTGTCTATACAAAGTAATTTCGATGTTTCACACCAGTCAGGCGACCCGTAATGGTTTCTTTTTTGTTTTTCATGTGAAAAACCTTAAACATGAAAAATGTTTTTAATAGTGCACTGAAACATCGTGGAACCACCTTCTGACCCCCGGTGAGGTGTGTCAAAACCCTATATTATAATAATGGTCTAGGCGGCCTAATCCGTGGCCACGAACTGTAGTGTTCGTACGTTAGTAGCATTTAAAAACAAAATTACTAGAATAAACTTACCTCCTCATTAAGGTCCGTAAAAAAAAAAACGACAAAATGTATTAATTAGTGCATAATGGCACGGCGAAGGCGAACTTGTGAGGTTCAAAACGAAATTTTTAATTAGAGACTTCCTTTCAGTCAGTGGCGACGGGCCGAGCGTCCACAACATTGTGACATTAAGATGTCGGTCTCAACTCAAAAGGAAACTTAACAAAACTAACTCTCAAAGAGCCACGGCCGCGCAGCCGGGCGGGGAGGTGGTCATTAAAAATTAAAATCGTTTGGAGACAACGAAATGAAAAATAAATCGCGAATTCCTTAATTAAAACAAAATTTCCCCGGTAAACACTAAGGGCTAGTTTAGAGGGGCGTCGGCGGGGCGGTGTTGGGGGGCTGGAGGGGGGTAAAGAAGCTTTTTATTAATGTCGTTGTGAGTTCTTTAATTGCGATCCGACGTCGCCTTGCTCGGCGGCCATGACACCAGGTCGCCTCGGCGAGAGGCGCGTGCGACCGAAGGCGAGGGCTGTGTCGCTGGTGCGTGCGTCGATATGTTACCTCGGCACGGACGAAAACCAAAGATTCAATTCGTTGGAAGACTGGAAACCTGTGTAATGATATCGTGATTGGGGGTTATGCACACAAAGTAAAATCTCAAGAAACAATTACACAGTGTACACACTTAAAAAAATGGCAGCTTAAGTTTGTAATATTATTCCAGAATAAACCCCTGTATATAACATTTAAATTAAGTCACAAACACTTTAAGATGATAATTAACAGATTTGTATGGGTATACCAGGAACGGCGACCCCACGAGGGTTAAGATATTAAGGTATACTTAATAACACGATATTATTAGGGTGTTTATCGTAAATTAATAGCACCCGGCTGAAACGATAATTCTTTGTGCAATTGTGGTTCATGAATAGATACAAAGTCCTATACCACCCCGTAGACCTTACCGCGGCCCAAAAAGGCGTTTACTAAGCAAACTAGTTACTTCTTCACTTCACACAGCGCGAGCCCATTATTTAATTAAACGTCGGTATTGCTTAAAAAAAACTCTGTAATTAGACTAAATTAAATCCACGCCGCGTCTAGATTCCGCGGCTGGAGTCTCGCCCCTGAAAGAGCGAAGGTATCGTCGAGCACCGGCGTTCACACCTCGCCGCCTGGGCGCCGCAAATAAGCCGGCGAATTAGGCCCGGGAGGAAATTAAACCGGCCAAGTGCGAGTGGGACTCGCGCACGAAGGGTTTCGATGGTATGGGAGAGCCCCAATTAATTTTTTTATTCTGTTTTTAGTACCTGTTGTTATAGCGGCAACAGAAATACATCATCTGTGAAAATTTCAACTGTAACTATCACGGTTCATGGGATACATCCTGATGACAGACAGACTGACACACAATTAACTGTGGTAGGGCCACCGAGCACGAATGGGCAGACTCGTCCGGGTAGGTACCATCACCTCACAGAAGACCGGCGTGAAGTGGAAGTATAATACTTTAGCATTTCGTCTAGTCAGTGAGGTAGACGGAGCGGAATTATCAAAAGGTTGTCAACGCATGTGCAACCCTCGGGTGTAGGAGATGTCCATAGACGGCGGTATTCGCTTAACATGAACCGCCTGCTCGCTTGGCAACTTTTCACATAAAAAAAGACAGCGGACTCTTAGTAATAGGGTCCCGTTTTACCCTTTGAGCGCGGAACCCTAAAAACGATGCTCCCCGCACGGAAAGTTCACGCTCGGAGGCGGGAAAGAGGCACGCGTCCCCACAGAGGCGGTTACGCTGCGACGCGAGCGCTTCAAAGCAGCGCGGATGACGGGTGCGCTTTGATGACGAAATTGTTTAGGCGGCTAATTAGCGGCTTGCCGTTGACGAATTATGCGAGTTTGATTCTCAGTCTAAGATTTGAGTGGCACGCCCACAGTAATTACTGGTGTTGGCGAATTTAATTTACGTGTCATGACGGTGACACACGAGCTATAAGTGGATTTGGACGTTCCAGTTACCGGAAATGTTTTATTTAAACGAATCAGCGTCTATCACATAGCACATAGCCGATACGATACGGCATTTCCATTTTGTTACATTCAACTTTGAAAATTAGTTAAGTTCTACTGAAATATGAATTGCATGTTCGAAATTCATTCACCTTACTGACGGTCCTAGTCTAACACTACCTACAACATGTAATTGCACCAATTATCCAAGTTTTGTGTAACCAGCAAACAGCGCAAGTACTTTGCGTTTTACCCATTCAGATGTTTGTTATGTTGCGTGTGATATTGCAGTACATCGTACAAGTATTATGGCTTATAAATAATGGCTTCAGGTGTTGCCGAGCCAAGTAACAAGTAGTGATAAAATAGAACCACCTTCATCTGCACGCCAATCCTTACCCCAATCTCCATAAGGGACATAATCGCTTACAAACGTATTACTTAAACGACTTACTCTTTATTTTGATACTCTATTACTCGTTCATTGATAAAAATAATTGTGTGCTTATAAGATTCTCAAAAACGATGAACACGTAGGAGTCTATAGGATTCGAATTGAACATCTTATATTATTAAGCTTTCTTGATATTGCAAGTTCAATATTCCAGAGAATAAATCATAAGTGCCTTTCTGATATCAAGTTCGTGCTTCGTGGCAGTCTGTGGTGGAGGCCTGTATTCAGATATGGACTCAAACTGGCTGAAATGATGAAGGACGGCAGCAATCACAAGTAAGTATCGAGTAAAGCGCTTGCCCGCTTGCCAAATTTTCACATAGAAAAAGTAAATTTGTAATATTTACAAATCAAAGTTTATTTCCCGACATTTCGACGTTCATGGGCGCGAGTCAGTCTGTCCCATCCGTAATAGTCGATATATTCCGTAAATATAGTTTAATTTAATAATGTGTAAGAAATTATCATCAATCTCCGTTACATATACATATCTCTTATTTAACCTACCTTTACTATCTTATAAACTGTCACTCTTGGCAATTTACATTCGCTATCCTATATTTATTGGCTGACACTTTTTGTCGTTGGCATTTTGTTCGCTCCTTTGCCAAGAAGCTTGTTATTTTACGGATCGTTTGTGAGTTTGCCAGATAGCTTTTTTTTATATTATACCGACGGACCGTTTACTGCACTCTGGAATGAATTTCTAGTGTCTGTAAAATTTGAATGACAGAGTGCTTTGCTCCCTTTTATTACGCTCTACAAAACACAGAACTAAATAAAACGTTTAAATTTAGGCAGGCTTACAACTCGGTCGTATCTTCTACATCCATACAAATAAGGAAGTTTATACATTGCCAATCTAGTCTTTGACTTTGGGCATCAACTGTCAATTTCCATTCGTCTATTCTACGTGTCTAAACAACTGTAGTAATACTTTTCCCACAAATATTGATACCTATATGATATACGAATATTACGAAAATGAACTTTAAGTGGCTGAAATTTTCTGTTATATACGTAACATTATAATATTGTAAAGGAACTAAATTATCGGAGGAGGTCGTCGGTTTTCAATATTATCTCATTTAATATAACACAGACGCACAGTTGCAGGGTATCGATGAATTTATAAAGCGGGTCGAGACGGGGGGCTAAATCAACCATCGGCGAGCTCCCTGAATGCCAACCATCGGTTAGACGTAGCTTTTTAATAACAGCAACCTTCCGCTATGAATATTAACTAAGCGACGTAATTTCCCAGCGCTCTCCGGGAATTTTAAACAACCGCCCCAAGATGAGGCTTTATTAATACGTGATCAACGGAACAATGTACGTCGCGCTTTGTGCCAGCCTCGGGAGTGTGTGAATGAACGAATGTGATTTTAGTTTTTGCTGAGCCACTTCTTCGTCGAGAAAATGTTTAATGTTTTGGCGTCTGTTTCTCAGATCTCGTTAATATGGTTAGTTGAATATGGTTTAGGCATTTGGTTTTTTGGGTTCTTACCTATACTGCGCTCTCCGTCTGTCTGTCTGTCTGTCTGTCTGTCTATCTATCCGCCTGTTACATCCTGCTGGCGCTCTCATTTCGTGAACCGTGAAAGTTAGACAGTTGAAATTTTCACAGATGTATTTCTTTTGCCGCTATAACCACAAATACTATAAAACAGAATAGAAAAATATTTAAATAGGGCTCCAATACAACAGACATGATTTTTTGCCTTTTATATATATAATGGTACGGAACCCTTCTTGGCCGGTTTTATTTAACTCACCATATAGACTGATGATTAGTAATTTGATTTCTTATAAATGGAATATTAAAACTATTAGATTCCGCCCTGTGGATTTGAACTCGGGTCGTTCGAGTGTACCGAGTGCGTGGACTCTAAGTTACTACATATCTCTTTATACATGTGCAGTAATCATTTAAATACTCGTGTACTAAATATAAGGATGAACACTTTGCCAGCCCTTCTTTTCTTTGTGATCAATTCTAGAGATTTCATAGTTGGAACATAGCTGATTTTTTTTTTTCGTTTGACTCAGTAGAGATAGTGAAAAGAGCCAGTAACTTCTGGTAAGTAACGAACACAACGTCAATAGTTCTAGGTCATGAACAGAAATATTTGTACTAGCATTTCGTCTTGCCTTGAAATACTGTGTTGAATCTCTCGAATACGCAATTGAAAAGATAAGATTCAATAGCGATTTGCAGATATCTAGTGGTGGTAGACCAAGGTATTTTGATATCAAAAGTAAAAGAAAAATTACTTCCACTTCCGAGTTATTGGCAACGGTAATACCTCTTCGAACGCTACGCTCAATAAAATAATCAAGCTCCATTTGACCTGAGAAAACGTTGAACACCATCCAAGCGATGTAACAAAGAGATTTACTAATAACATAAAATCAATCTCGACCAAGATTGAAATTATATTTTATATCAGACGTGAAATATTAATTTCGATTAACAAATTAGCCATTATATTTTTGTTTTAAAAGCTATTTTATAAGGTACTCGGTCAAAATACTAAAAATATTATCAAGTGGAATTTTAAGCGGAGATGCATTCATTGCTTATGATCGTCAGATTAAGACTTTCGCACATAGATCGCCAGTCGCTTTGGACCAACTACCTGGTGAGACAAGCCGTAGCAAAACATATGTATATAGGTACACATCCATTAACACTCGAAATACATTACTCTCTTATCTGTACTAACAATGGTAAAATCGACGAATTTATCTGTTACAACAAACACTAAAATTAGTGTATTGAAAACGAGACATGATCAATGTACAATGACCGATCTAATTCCTCATAAGTAAACCGTTAAATACGTAACCACAGACGGTCTCGAAACGTCGTCCTCGAGTTGACGTTTTCGCGTGAACCGTCGGGGGGGCCGACCGCGAACCCCTGCCTAATGCCATAGCAATTTAATTTGCGACACCCTCGCAAGGAACCGGAACCGTAAGCCGAAACCGCCACCAGAGGTGTGAAGCAATAGTGGACGCGTCGGCTCGTCTTACCGATCAATTGTTCCCACCCCTTGTTCCTACGCGGGCGAGCGTGCCGATCACACCTTCGATATATATACGTTATTTTTATCATTTTTTTAAGTGAAAAAGTGACAAACGCGCGGGAGATTCACCTGATGTTAAGTAATAATCGCCGCCCATGGACATTTGTAGGCTTGCAAATGATTTTATTTGAATAAAGTTGGCCCCGACTAACGCACTCACCAGACGAAACGCAGAAGTGTAACACTTCTACTTTACGCCGGTCTTCTGTGAGGTCGTGGTACTTACCTGGACGGACCTGCCCATTCGTGCAACAGTGCAAACTATTGCGTAGCCCTACCACAGTTAAATCACTGCACCCATCCTAGTACCGTTTTATTTAGAAAACATTTAGGACACTTTTCTACACAACGTTGTCTAGACCCAAACAAAGCAACGCTTGTATTATGAGTACTAGATAACTGATAAACCTATTTTGTAAATAGATACATATTACACATTTATAACCACCCAGACATTAGATAAGCACTATGTTCATCACACAATATTTTTCCAGTAGTGGGGATCGAACCTACACCCTCTGGCGCAGGAGACATGTAAAGTAAAGTAAAGTAACAGCCTATACATGTCCCACTGCTGGGCAAAGGCCTCCTCTATGCAGAGGGAATCAGGGCATAGTCCACCACGCGGCCCCACTGCGGATTGACGGACTTCACATAAAAAAGTAAAGTAAAGTAACAGCCTATACATGTCCCACTGCTGGGCAAAGGCCTCCTCTATACAGAGGGTATCAGGGCATAGTCCACCACGCGGCCCCACTGCGGATTGGGGGACTTCACATATTTTCGAAATACATTTTTTTTTTTTTTTTCATTATTCCGAAAATATACAGGTTTCCTCACGATGTTTTCCTTCACCGCGGAGCACGTGATAATTCAGCACTTAAAGTTAAAAACTTCATTGGTGCCGGCACCGGGGATCGAACTCAGGTTGCTCGAGTATACATTGAATTAAGGCGAGCGCCCGGACACTGAGCTATCACGGCTCTTCACATATCTTCGAAAAATATTTTTTTTTGTTATTATTTCGAAAATATGCTCACGATGTTTTCCTTCACCGCGGAGCACGTGATAAGTCAGCACTTAAAGTTAAAAACTTCATTGGTGCCGGCAGCGTGGATCGAACTCAGGTTGCTCGAGTATATTGAATTAAAGGCGAGCGCCCGGACACTGAGCTATCACGGCTCTATATCTACGGCAGGAGACATATCGTCTTATAATTTAATTCTATTCCCTGTTAAATAAAACCGCTATCTTACTGAATTATTAAGTTTCTGCGTTAACTCAACGCTTTCCTTTCTATTGTATTAGACCACCTTTTGTCGATATTTAATATGCAAACCGTCTAAAATTTTATGCGACTAGTAACTTTTTCAATGCAACTAGTATTTAGGTAAACTGTACTTGGCCACGCAACAGTGTTAGCTGTTGCACGAATGGGCAGGTTTGTCCGGGTTAGAACCACGACCTCACAGAATACCGGCGTGAAGTCGAACTTTTGCACTTTTGCGTTTCGTCGGTTGAGTGAGGTAGCAAGGGCCCACTTTATTAAAAGGTGGCAACGCATCTGCAACCCTACGGATATTGCAAATTTCCATGGACGCGTTTATCACCTAACATCAGGAGAACCGCCAGCTCGCTCGTCATATTAAAAACTTGAAAAAGCTGAATCATGCACCAATGAGCTCTCTCATGTACTGGTTTAATGGGGCTCATGCGGATAAAGAAAAAAAAAATTTCAATGGGGGTTCGGGATTTGAACTTTGCCCAAGTATTTTGAATTGAAAGCGAGCGCCCGGACACTGAGCTATCGCGGCTCACTGAACTATCCCTGAGCTTATTAAAGTATAGAAAATTAAATCTAGATTTAATTGATTTAAAGTATAGTCTAAGTAAATGGCTGTTACCGATGACATCTGTTCACCTTTGTACCTATTCTTTGTTCGAGACAAGGAAAAGGATTCCTCGACACTATTTATGAGTACCTTGCTCTATTTCATGGTACTCAATCCCATTGAAGAGATAGCAAAATTTCATTAGAGCGTTCACCGTCCAGGTCCGACCCGCAAACCGTTCGCTAATAAAACTATTCGACGCCAGCCCATCGAAGGGAGACAAACGAGTCACAACGGGAACCTATCTGAAATTGCAGTTGTAAATCAAACGGGCACCAAACGGGCGTGCGGGGGAACGATTAGACTCTTCACGAGGCGCAATAAAAATGTCCTAACGCTTGCCGGGTTAAACAATGGATCGCAGTTAAACGGAGCGGTGATACGCGTTATAACTATGATTGCGCACTAAAAGCCCTGGGCGCGAACCAATTGTCAATATAATTGAAACTATTTTTACGGATTTATCGCGTTTTCTTTAAATTTTAATTCCCCATGTTTCGAACCCTTTACGGCGTTCATGGTCACGGGACGGACTGTAAAGTTTGTTTCATTTATGATGTGTAATCGCGTAAATGCAAGAAATTATCAATTATCAATATTTATAGATACAATAAATATCTTTTTTATATTTAAAAAAAAAAAAAAGAATCCTATGTCCTTAAAACCTCTAAAAATATGAATACAAACTTAAGATAATCGGTTGAGTAGTTTTGGCATGAAAGCGTAACAAACAAACTTACATTTACTGCATAAAATGAGTACACACCCACCTATTTTCCTTTGATTACTTATGTATTGTTAATTATTACCAAAGGTTTGCTGGCAGAGAACTCTCTTTAGGGTTAAGCTCGCCTTTGTACAGTCTTCTTTTTAATCCTTCATTTGTAACTGTATTTTTTGTGTACATTAAGGAATAAGAATAAGTAATAACATTAATATATACGAGTATTTTTAGCGGATCCGACAGACGTTGTCCTGTACACACGTCTTAAATTCGAAAATTGTTTGAATAACTTTGTGAGTCTCAACCATTCTCGAATCGACCTGAACACACACAAAAAAATTCATTAAAATCGGTCTAGCCATTTAGGAGGAGTTCAGTGACATACACACGTACAGAAGAATTATACCCCGGCTTCGCACGGATTATATACATATAAATCTTCCTCTTGAATCACTCTATCTAGTAAAAAACCGCATCAAGATCCGTTGCGTAGTTTTAAAGATCTAAACTGTCCGACAGACAGACAGACAGCGAGACGACTTTTGTTTTATACTGTGTAGTGAAGATAAGTAGGGATTGACAGAGCCGTGATAGCTCAGTGTACCGACGCTCGCCTTTAACTCAATATAATCGAGCCACATGAATTCAAACCCAGATGCTGGCACCAATGAAATTGTTAATTTTAAGTGCTGACTTATCACGTGCTCAGCGGTGAGGGAAAACATCTTGAACCTGCATACTTTCAAAATGATAACAAAAAATATTTCGAAGATATCGGCCGCGTAGTGGACAATGCCCTGATACCCACTGTACAGAAAGGCCTTTTCCCAGCAGTGGGACATGTATATGTTGTTGTTATTAAACTACTTTGCCACACAACGATAGCAGAATATTTGAAGTGATTAAAATATTCTGTGTTCGTTGTACTTTACAAAGCAATATTAAAACATTGAAAACAGAAAGTTGCTATGAGAGCATTACTTTTTCAATTTTTATTCGCATTTGAAACGTAAGGAAACTCTTCGGTGTTGTAATTACGTGATTCAGTGTTGTGTTTCTAATTAGTTTATGTAGCAGTAAGGCAACAACGTGGACTGAGCCATTTGCCATTTGCAAATAAAGGTCTGCAAGATTCATCGATTCTTTATTGACCCTAACCAATGGTATTCCTGTTTTACCGAGCTTTTTTTTTATGTGAAAAGTCGTCAAGCGGGCAGCCAGTTCACCTTATGTTAAGTGAATACCGCCACCCATGGACATCTGCTACACCCTAGGGATGCGTTGACAACCTTTTGAAAATTGGGCTCCGGTCACCTCACTCACCAGACGAAACGCGAAAGTATTATACTTTCACTTTACGCCGGTCTTCTGTGAGGTCGTGGTACTTACCCGGACGAGCCTGACCCTTCGTCCAACAGCCGAGGCTGCTGCGTAGCCCTACCACCCTAAAGAGCTCATTAAGTCCTAATAGAGAATTATAAAGAAGATGCTTATAATTTTTAATTTACAACCTTATGGTGTTTCAACAAGTAGGACCATGCAACAGTTCCACTATTGCACGAATGGGCAGGACCATCCGCGTAAGTACCACGACCTCACAGAAGACCAGCGTAAAGCAGAAGTGTTGCACTTCTGCGTTTCGTCTGGTGAGTGTGTTAGCCGGGGCACATCTTATTTAAAGGTAGCAACGCATTCGCAACCCTATGGGTGTTGCAAGTGTGTTGCAAATGGGCGGAGGTTATCAAAGTTCAAAGAATGAATGAACCACTAAAAGGTTACGATGTTATTTATTGTTTATCTTTATAAAAGTAAAAAAAACGTAAAGTAACAGCCTATACATGTCCCACTGCTGGGCAAAGGCCTCCTCTATACAGAGGGTATCAAGACATAGTCCACCACGCGGCCCCACAGCGGATTGGCGGACTTCACATATCTTCGAAATACATTTTTTTATCTTTATACAAACAATTTATTCTTACTAATGTTTTACTGCAAACAAAGTAACATTTCATCATCATCATCATCATTTCAGCCTTTTTGAGTCCACTGCTGAACATAGGCCTCCCCCATAGACTGCCATGAAGTACGATCCTGAGCCACCTGCATCCATCGACTTCCCTCACATTTGCACAGGTCGTCACTCCATCTAGTGGGGGGTCGTCCTACACTGCGATGGCCAGTACGAGGCTGCCACTCGAGAACCTTTCTTCCCCAACGGTTATCGGTTCTACGAGCTATATGGCCGGCCCATCGCCACTTCAGCTTGGTAATCCTCTGAGCTATGTCGGTTATCTTAGTTCTACTGCGGATGTCTTCGTTACGAACTCTATCACGCAGAGAAATACCGAGCATAGCCCGCTCCATAGCTCGCTGAGCGACTTTGAGCTTCCTCATACGGCCAGCAGTTCCGTAGGTCATCACCCCCCCCCCCCCTTCATGATAAAAATAACATTTAAATGCTATTTTATATCCGTTAGATATATCCCATCCAACATTCGAGTCAATTTAAACTATTGACAATAGCGATGGACTACCTACTTTAAAAACAAAAAACAAACAGTTTAACAAACTAACGAACGCAAAGCAGAATGCACCGTAGCCGCACACACACGGAGGACTAGATAGCAAATAGAATCCACAGACGCGGTTTTCCACGCGGCGGGGGACAAATAGAATTTTTAATAACATTACAGCGGTGAGATGAGGATGCGTATAAAATAAGTTGTTTCCAGAGTGGCATTGTGTGCTGTAAGACCGGGAAAACGCTGGCGGATCGCGAGTGCTTTTAATAGAAGGGGGTATGTTAAATGCGGATGCCTAAGGCCTTTCAGTCTGAGAGTAATTCGTTTGTTGCTATACGTTACGTTCGAAGACAACGGGCGTGATTTAATAGGCGTAAGAGTCAAACCAAATAATTAAGAGAAAATACAATCATATAAAAAATGAATAAGTAGAAATTTTGCCGTGTGGCTTTTTATCTGTTAGTTAATGTACTACTTAAGTCATCTGAAATTTTGGTTATAGCGTTATAATTCAATGTTAACTTAACATCGTTGACACCCTAAAGCAGTTTCTGAAAAGGGTCCCCATTGCAGGCCCCCGAGAGGCCTCCGCGCACATGGTGACCGCCGTTGCCATGGCAACAGGGTCAACGACCCAAGCGCCACCTTCGACTCGTGGAATTCCCACCATTTCAGTTTTAATGTTAAACACCTCCAAATAAAACTCGTAATTAAAAAGAGAGATTTAAATAAATTTCAGTTATTTCAACAAACTTGCTTTTAAACAAATACAGTGGCTTGGAAAACTCACCTGTCACGCCTTACGGAGTAGACAGTAGTCTGGAACGCACTTACACATAAAACAAATTCAATTTTATATTTATTATTAACAGTAAACTATACAAACTTGCACCTCGTATACGTTCGGAATGTGATATCTATTCACAGCCGATATAGTTGAGTCCACACCAACGCGCACAATCAAACAGTCCGCGAATAGAAGTTCACTTGTTCGAATTAACAACTTGTTTTCATAGAAAAAGTGCTGTAAAATACAACAAAAACATTCGCGTGCCGGTACATGTCAGCGAATGCGGCCTGTCGACGAGGTTCCGTACATACAAAGCGACCAATTTAACATGGACCGGTCCCAAACGAAACTCCACACAAGTTGCCACCTTACCACTCACGCAGTAAAGCTCATCAGCTTTATGCGCGCCCGCAAAGTTTCCGAGACCGAAACCTACTGTCGGATAGCATTTTCGTACGGTGCCGCGGAAAACTGGCTTTTCTACTGCAGATGTAAATGCCAATTTCCCTTCCACGGCGGCGCCACGATTCGTTTGCAGCTTTAGAATTATCTAAACAGGGTTTAATTTGAACTGGCGCGGCGGGTCAGACAATGCGCCACGCAATGACGTTTGCGTGGTGAGAGAAAGTGGTATTATTGTAGGGGGTGCGAGTGGGAGGGCGATAGTGAGGGAGGGCGCGCTGGGGTGCATTTGTGCGTTGGGAACGGAACGTCAAGCAGGCCATAAAGAATCGATCTTGAAGACGCTCGCGGAAACTTTGGCGTTTGAGAGGGTATTAGGTGTTTGCGAATGGCTCTATCGTGTAGCCGTTTTTATCTACTCTAAGCCGTGCTAAATGTGAGATACTCTTGGTTAACTTTATCCGATTCGAGCAAATTCTCCCTTTCTTAAGTTATCACAAACTCGTAAGCTGAACATTTTCAGATGGTTATAACCTGAGCCCTAAATAATTAACTAATAAGTTTATTTAAAGAGATAAAAATATTGACTGTTGCTTCTCAGTACATACTTGAAAATGTTATGTATGTCCATAAAAATAAGAATGAATTTTCCAAACAGTACAATATAGTTATAAATACTAGGAACAAACATAAATTAATTCTGCCCACGCAGTATAGTTGACTGCGTAGAATAATTAAATATTTTATGGGACAAAAAATACGTTTCTACAACAAAATCCCAGAAAACGTTCAAAATTTATGTTTCTAAAATCAAATAAATTGTAAAGGTACGTTTATATGTTGGTACAATATTATTGCTTTTTTTAAATTATATTACCCTGCAAAATAAATTGATCGCTCCAGGCTCTTTCAAGTGGAATTTAATGAATTTCTACCTATACATATTTCATTGTTAAATCATGGTTTTA